ACTATTTCAGTCCTAAAATTTAGAGGAAAAAAACTTATTTCAGTGTTAAAACTCATACACCAATAGCATTTACTACCTTGGTAAAAAAACATTACAAGGTTTCATTATGATTACATAATAAACCCTAAATCATTTGCTGATAGATTGGTCACCCACTGACTTTATGAATCCCAAGGTAGCTTCCCGATGCTTCCAAGTCATTTCCCTTTACTGCTGTCAATAAATATGCAGGGAGTATTCATCTTAACACTTAAATATTAATATTCAGGCTTAATTCTGAAAACATGAATACTGCAAAGCAAACAAGGAAATTTTTTACACGCAATCCAACTCCTGGGCATGTATCTGGAGAAAATCAATTATGAAAATTTACATGCACACCCCAATGTTCATTGCAGCACTATTTACAATACCAAGACATGGAAGCAACCTAAATGTCCATCAACAGATGAACAGATAAAGAAGATGTGGCACATATATACAATGGAATATTACTCAGTCATCTAAAAAGAGTGAAATAATGCCATTTGCAGTAACAGGGATGGATCTAGAGATTATCATACTAAGTGAATTAAACAGAGAAAGACAAATATCCTGTGATATTACTGATATGTGTAATCTAAAGAAAAAGACACAAATGAACTTAAATAGACCCACAGACACAGAAAAAAAACTATGGTTACCAAGGCAGAAAGAGAACAGAGAGGGATAAATTAGGAATTTGAGGTGAACATAAACACACCACTATATATAAAATAGATAACCAACAAGGACCTACTGTACAGCATGGGAACTATATGCAACATTTTATAATAAACAGTAAGGGAAGAGAATCTGAAAAAATATATACATATAAATATATATATAACTCACTGTGCTGCACATCTGAAACTAACATAGTACTGTATATAACTACACTTCAATTTTTAAAAGAAAAAAATCATATAATGCATTCCAAAGTGAAATATGAAAATATTTCATATAGTAGAGATTCTCTAAACATCAACTTTCTGGAACCTAGCATAATACCTTCTCTTCCCTGATATATGTATTGCTTATTTCTTACTTCTTTCAGGTGCTCCCTGACCACTCTGTATAAAAATAACCCCCCAATATGACCACCGGAACTTTCTAGCCTTCTCGTTTCATTTATTTCTAAAGAACTTATCACCACTTATTTAAGGGTACAACTGCTTTCCTGTATTCTCCCTCACTTCCACTCCCCCACAGAATAAGCTTCCTAAGGATATATGGATGTTCTGGCTGTTCATTCAGAGACTTGAACAGTTCCTAGTACATAATATACAGTCAAAAACAAGTTTTGTTAAATGAACTTGGAGAGTTTTAGTACAATTCCCTTAAGGTATAAGTGATAAAATAACTCCATAAATATACAAGCAAAAAGAAGACTGAGCAGAGAACAGACATTATAGATCCCTGCAACTGCTGTCCCAACTGCATAGTAAGTAGTTAAGAACACAGACTTCATGCTTGGACAAAGCCAGACTTTAGTCCACTTATCAATAGTGACGCCCTGTGCAAACTAACCTCTCCATGTCTCCATTTGCTCAATATGAAAGAAGGATAATAATAGTACCAACTTAACATTGCTATTACAGAGATTAAGTGTGGTAATGTGTATAAAATACTACAGTACAAAGCAACCAGTAAGTGCTTAACAAAAGGGAACTAACATTATATTTATCATCATCATCCCCACCATCATCTCACTCAGGCTCCACAGCCTATTTTCTAATATTTCTCAAATAATTTACGGTAAGACTGACTATCAAGTTTCTAAGTGCACACAGCCAAAAAACAGCAAATTAGAGACAGCGAGCAATTTCCAGAGAGAGAAGCAAAAAATGGGGGATGGGGGGGATGAAAAAACTATAAAAACCAGATATATACCTAGTTTTCTGATTGTTTCTTCCACACAAAAAAAGATGTTGTATTTTGTCAAATCACTTTTCTGCAAGAATTGAGATGATGATCTGGTATTTTCTGCTTCATTCTATTAATGCAGTGTATTACAATGATTGACCCCCTTACACTGACCCATTACTGCATCCTAGGTAAGATCCCAATTGGTCAAGAAAAAGATTATATTACATTTAATACACTCTTAAGATGGCAAGAAACTATAATTCTAAAACTGGGAAAATTTACTTCAAAATGGTTTGCACAAGCTTTTGGAATAGAAGATAAACTTCTATTACTTTCAAAATTCATTTTCTGGAGAAAAGGAGTAAAGTAAATGACACATTCTTATACAGAAGGCTTGGATATCTCTTCTGCTGCTGCTGCTAAGCCACTTCAGTCATGTCTGCATCTATTTATACTATTTCCTTTAAGCTACAGAATAACCAGGATTTTCTGAGATTAAAAGAAAATCAAATTTCAAAATCAAAACCACATTCCAAAATTTCTTAAAAGTTATTTTTCTTTGTTCAATTCCTTTGTAAAAACATTGGTCACCGTTTAACATACAGTGGCAACAAAATGCACCCAATTTACATGCATAAATAAGTCAATAAATCATAATACACAGACAACATGATTTCACATCAACAGTATTGACACAGCTCACGTTGCATTTAACCATAGTTATAGTTGCTCCCAATAAAGAAATACTTAATGTGAGAAATAAGAACTCCAGTTTCAACCTGAAATAACATTCTTCATAACAAGTAACATAAAACAATGATTATATGACGTCATTATCTTAAAGGGAACCATTTTTCAGAAGTTACTTTGTGCAAAGCACCATACTAGGAAAAAAATGTGTACCTTAGGTTAAGGACGAAAGAGCTCCATTCATTTAAACTAATTACCTGAATTATGCAAATTTTATTATAACCATAAATTAAAGTACTTTTCAATATGAAGGCTGTATATTCCATATTTTGAAATCTTAAATAATTCCACAGATGCTCAGTTAAACTAAAAGATTCTATAGGACTGGGTTATTTTCATGAGCAAAAAAGAAAGTAAAATCAAAAGCCCTTTCTAAACTCACAGGCAAGGTTTCTGGATATAGGACTTAATAAAAAGAAAATTTAAGCACCACAATAACATATGTTTTTAGAGAACAGACAGGGCTGGCAATACAAGTTAGGCACAAAAACACTTAAACATTTACCAAAAAAAATTTTTTTAAATAATCACTAATCCTATCATCTGAAATAATAATAAGAAAAAATTTTGGTGTCTGTGATGTTATGTGGGAGATACAAACCACAATTCTATTTAAGATGTTAAGTTTTATGATTTTAATTTGATTAAACAAAACTGTCACATTATTTGTACATAATAAGGTTATATATTTATCTTTATAGCATATGATCTATTTTTCCCTCAAAAATCTATGACTACAGGATAGCTCTAAAATAATTTTGAAGTAAACAGAAAAGAATTTATCACAAACTGTCTTGTGAGAGAAACCAGCTCCTCTGAAAATAAGAGTTCAAAGCAAATGTGTAAATAAAACTTTAAAATAAGGTAGCTGTAAATACAGCCATCTTTAAGCTTCCCTTCTTTTTCATCTATTTAGCAAAGTAAATAGTTACAGTGGCCCAAACAGTAATTTTAATTTGTTTTTCTCCTCTGTGATATATTTAAGTACTCTTACAATTAAGAGTAATTTTTTAGCATGTGTAACAGATCACATGCTAACAAACTTTACAGGTTCATAAAATTAAAATTTATGACTCACAAGCATAGATGTGAATTCTAGCTATGCTTAGGTCAGATACACAAGACCGAAGATAAGGAACTTCAATCTAGAATATGATTTAAACGCCACAAGAAAAAAGAAAGGGAACAAAAAAAAAAGGGGGGGGAACGAAAAATGGGAGAAAGAATTTTTCCTCATACATCTTTCGATTACTAGGCCATATATATATATAGAAAAAGTAAAATACTAAATATTTATTTTTCACCTCAAAAGAAGTTATCCAGAAATAATATCTGCTAAAGAAGATATAACATTAGGATTCAAATTCATTCAACTCAGATAAGAAGACATTTGGAGGGGAGGAGCATTCCCAAACAATATTATTTGTACTTATTAACCTTACACACATCACCTCAACTTCACCAATTATACCACAGACCTTCTTAAGTTTCCATTTTATACTTCTGTGAAAAAAACTTTTTTAGCCTCGTAACTTTCCAAGTGTCATGTGAAACCTCTTAGTTGACCCAAATCTCACAATCCCCATTAAAAGCACTCTAGTGACTTTCTTTCCCATAGGAGTAAAAAACCACTACATAATTATTCAAAGTTGAGAAAATAAAAGCATAAAAACCAACTCAAAATAATGCACTTCTTAACATATATGTTCTTATGTAGTAGGGAGACTAAAAATAATTGTTCATCCTAATTAATCTCCAGCTCTTGAGACTGAGAGGTCAGAAAATTAAAATAAGTGATAAGTACTTAAAGTCTGTTCATTTTGAATAGATGTGAGAGTTTTAAAAAAATGACTGAAACTAGATGATTGTAAATGTTTACTGTGAAACAGTACAAAATTGATGTTGCCAAAAAGAGAGTAAAAAAGAAATATTCAACTGATATTAAACATCTTAAGTAATTTGGAAAAAATTTTAAGGTTGAATTGTAACTGTAGGGGACAGCGACGACAGAAAATGCTTTCATGCGTGTACACATGGTAAGTAACAAAGAGGTAAATCTCAAGTTAGCACGGTACATCAACAACTGATACTTAAATGGTATTTTGGTATATAAAGAAAAAGAAAAGGTAAAATGTTGACTGCCATTGATGAAAAAGCATTTTACCAATTTACACAAAAATTTTTTAAAAAGATGTCCTAAGAAAACCAAGCCACAATAAGTTAGTGTTTTCCATAATACATGCTGAATTATTTGATCCCATTATCTATACACTGTTACTGTCTTAATTCCTAAATGCTGTTGACAGCATATTTGATAACTGAGGTACATTAGTTTACATCTTTTTAAAGGTATTCTACGTGAGTTAATTTTTCTTTTCCAGTTTTTCATCATCTTCACCTCCTCCAAAGAAGATCAAAGGGAACATTCCTAGAATGCAGCCAATAGTCACTCCGACAGCTTTACCCTACGGAAACAAAAGAAAACATTTTTTCAAAGTTATTTTATCCCTGTAAGAGGAACATCTGCTTAAGTATGTATGATAAAAATTACTATGTACTATATAATTCAACTGTTACTGTATTTCTTTTGATCATGCTAACTTAAATTAAAAAATAACATACAAAAAGGTTCTAGAACAAATAATATGTAAAGTTCAAGGCAACCAGGAAAAAAAAAATTTTTTCAAATTGTCATAAAAATAACAATAGAGAAGTATTCAAACAGAAAATACCTTAAAAATGTACATATATTTTAAAGTCAGAAGATAGAAAGGAACGAAAAATCTCACCCAGTACTCTCAACATATTTGGATTTGCTGTCCTTTGTATATATTCCTTTTCAGTATTTATCCCCATGTATACCTAATTATATATGTAGGGCTAATCATTATGTAAACATAACTTTGTTTACTGCTTTCCTCCTCCCCCCACCAGTCACATATGTTATAAAAAACTCTTTTTCAAACTGTTTCATAAACTTAATACAAAAACTTCTAAATTCCACTGAATTGATGGGCCTATAATAAATGTTAAAGCTCTTCTTACCATTAAAAATCACTGCTACTGTCAGTGATAGAACAATAAACATTTCAGTGTATAGTTCTTCCTCAATGATTTATCTAAAAATCAAATAATATGAATATATGTGCATAATGATACTGCTTTGCTGTCTATTCTAGATAAAACTGCAAATATATGTATATACCCACCGCAATATATTTATATGCCTACATACACACAATTTTTCTGTGACCTCACCTATATTATGAAAAATTTATTTAATTTTTGTAAATGATTTTTAAATGTTGCATTCTTATGATGACTATTAAGGTTAAAATACTTACCAATTAAGTTTTACATCTTCATACAGACATTTACTGAGAATCTACAAAGTACCAAACTCTATGGCAGGTACCAGGGAGACAAGATTAGTCAGATGCAGTCCCTCTCTCTGCCAGGAACTTCCAGTTAGTTATCATCATACCTTTCTACTTGCTAATCAAAATACTTGGAATTCTCTCTCCCACCTAATAAATGTCTCATCAATAATTTAAAAATAAGCTTAGATCTAATATGCACCAAGAAATCTCCCCACTAAAAGAAATTTCTTTCCACAAAGACTTAATTCTTCTCCTGGTGCTTCTGCTATATCCAGTGTACATTTCTATTACTGAATATGTCACACTAAATTATAATTTGTTTTAATATGTCTGATTCTTTACCTATACAATGCTCAAAAAGAACTATAGTTTATTACTCATTTTATGTCCTTCATTCTCAGTACATAACTGATACTCCTCAACAGTAACTGAATCATATAAAGATTTTTTTCAAAAATCAAGTATGCCTACAAAAAAAAGTCAATGATTAGTTTTTCTGAAACCTACTAAGGTTTGGACAGTTTTTGTTAAAAACTCCACTCAATTCAATTTTAATCTCAAATTTCTCAAGGGACTGAATTATATACAGTGTCTTGTTCTGGCTACCCAAATTCATTATCATAAACCACACAAAGTACTCACCAAATGTGAACTAACACGTGTTTGCCACATGTCAACTTGCTTTGGTGAGAGATCAGGAATTGATAGGCCTAACCTGGAAGCCAAAGCTTCAACGTAGCCTGCAAGTCTTTAAAAGTACAAGAGGACAAGTAAGTCAGAAAGTAAAACACCAATACAGTATATTAATGCATATATATGGAAATTAGAAAAATGGTAACAATGACCCTGTATCAATCAGTTCAGTTCAGTCACTCAGTCATGTCTGACTCTGAGACCCCATGGACTGCAGAATGCCAGGCCTCCCTATCCATCACCAACTCCCTGAGTCCACACAAACCCATGTCCGTTGAGTTGGTGATGCCATCCAACCCTATATGCGAGACAGCAAAAGAGACACAGATGTAAAGAACAAACTTTTGGACTCTGTGGGAGAAGGCGAGGGTGGGATGATTTGAAAGAACAGCATTGAAACATGTATATTATCATATGTGAAACAGATCGCCAGTCCAGGTTCGATGCATGAGACAGGGTGCTCTGGGCTGGTGCACTGGGATGACCCTGAGGGATGGGATGGGGAGGGAGGTGGGAGGGGGGTTCAGGATGGGGACACATGTACACCCATGGCTGATTCATGTCAATGTATGGCAAAAACCACCACAACACTGTAAAGTAATTAGCCTCCAATTAAAATAAATAAATTTTTTTAAAAATAAAAAAAAATACAAGAGGACAGAAAATAAGTTTTTAAAGAGACACATACGAAAAACTATGTCCTCACATATGAAAAACTCATGACTACAACAAAGATAATTCTGTATCTGTATACTCCAGAAATGGTGTAAACATTCTTTTACAATTTTCATCTTTATTGTATATACATATATTTGGTATAATATTTTCCAGATTGACATATTTAATACACAGGTAAATTAACTGACTTAAGAGTAATTACTCTCTACCACTGCTTTAAAAAGAACAATTCAAAGTATATAAAAATTTTACAATTACAATTACAATTAACGCATTTATTCCAAATTCAAAGCAAAGCACTTTAACATATAATTTAATAACTGTCACCAGAAAAAAAGTTTTCTTAAAATTTATCAGACTGATATACTAAGAAAAACAGCCTATAATTTTCAGGGTAATTTCAAGTTATTTTCTAAGTGGCCATTGCTTATTGGATACAATCTTACTTTCAGAACTGGAAGAAAGAAAAAAATTTGCCAATTAAATTATGCATACCATCAATTATAAATGGATCCCAATATTAGATATGTTAAGTTCTAAAAACCTATGCAACTAAGATTGATAAAATGTGGTATTTACCACATAATGGTATTTTTTTAAGGTAGAGGATAAATAGTTCTTAGATGGAAGAGTCCCAACAAATCTATAATATTATCATTATAAACGTTAATGTTGGAAACTGGGAAATGGAATGTTTAAGGGATAATATCACTGTAGGTTTACATCAGAAATTCCAGGAATACAAAATTTCTGCTTTGGCCCAGAACAAAGAAATTGTGTTTTGAACAGTAGCTGTGGCCCCATACTCAAGTGCAGATGTCTAACGTACAGAGTTAGATCATGAATAAAGCTACCTTTCCCTAGATTATAGGGCTAATTAGACTGCTCCTAGACGCAAATTCAAATCTCAAAACTTACCATCAAAATGAACCAAAAAAAGGAGGAAGAAACAGAACCAAAGACTGAGCAAGACAGAGTATGTTTATCACAATAATTAATGCCAACTCGGTCTAATTCATACTTCCTAGGCTTCCCCAAGCTCAGGAAGCAGCCCAGGCCATGTGCTGCTTAGAAGAGAAAATGTAAAAACAGAAAAAGAAAGCTGGCCTTTTCTGAGTAGACGCCCTCAGTTTGTTTCACCATTCCTTCTTGCCACATGGAATAAAAAGAGCAAAAATTAGCCAAGTCCATGTAAGCTTTGGCCATTATTCGCTTTGAAAATTCCTCTCTCTAGTGAACATGACCAGTCAGTATCCTCACATTTGAGCCATATTTCTTTTCTTTGGACTTAGTGGGAGGACGGAGGGTATGAAATAATGATAGGGTTTCTTACTTTTAGTCCTGTCTCATCCTTAGAAATATTTATAAAATACATATAAACATTTCAGGAAATGAAAAATTCAACTCTGCTTACCTTACAGTAGTCTTAGGAAAAAATTTCACACATATCAGAATTGCTTGAGAAGATTCTTTAACACAAATGTCAGGGCCCCTTCCCTAGAGACACTAATTCTGCAAGACTGAGATGTGAGCTAGGCATCTATATTTGATGCACACCAAAGATTTAGTGCTGCTGATTTAGAAACATTAATTTTAAAAATTTAGTTCTAAAACACACATGCAAAAATAAGTGTCCCCCCAAAAAAACAAAAAAAAAAAAGTGTCCCTTTTCAAAATCCTTCCCAATTAAAGGAGAATGGAGAATAGAGAGTAAGTATACACATGCACAAGTGAACCTACCCAAGACCAGCTAAATCTGACACAAGGTTTCCCAAAGCAGCAGCTAAAAAAATGAAAAATGGACAAGTGAATTACTACATAAAAGTCAGAAAAATCACTATAGTAGATCACTGTGTAATCAATAAAGCACTAGTCTGGAAGAGTTACCACCTTTCTAAGCTACAATGACTATATCCAAAGTAACTCATAAACCTCCATCAATTAGCAGTTTTTTTCCTGATGTGGTAGCCAGTTTCCATTTTGGTTTCAATATTAAAACATCCGCATAACATTCTGTAGTTCAACTTTCAGACAATATTTAAGGGAATTTGGATACTTGAAAGTTAAAGAGTAAAACTATATGTACAGCTATGACATTCAAGAAAATCAAGGAGAAGAAATGTCTCATTCATTACTCATCTACTTCACATGTTCCATAATAATACAACACAGAATTGTTCCCAAATTCCACCATCATGAAGAGTAGAGTGGTATTTGTGGGGAAAGAAGGAGACAGAACCAAATCAGATTTTTGATCTTGTGTTTCCTTCCTTGATTTTTCTTCCCAACTTGAAAATAAATAATTTGATAGAGAAAATGGGTAGGAAGGTTTTATGGTAACACTGAATTAAGAGAAAAAAAAATTTTTAACACAGTCAATATAGTAGATTATTGTTACTCATTAACTAACATAAAGTACCCAAACTTTCTCAGAAAAATGCATACCACATGTACAAAATTAAATATTAAAAGACAGGATCAAGGAGATAAACTATTAATGACAGACATCTCAGTGAGTAAATTCATTCAAATGAAGTATCTTCTTCTATACTTAATCTACTAAAATGTTTCATAAATATACAATGGAATAATAACACTACTATTATTAAATACCTGCCATAGTTGAAATTCCAAAAATAATTCCAATAGACAATTCAATATGGGTTCCCTGAAAAACAAAGAAATTAATCTTAAAAATTAAAACTGAAGTGACTATAAAAGAATAGCAAAGCATTAATAAAACAGATAAAACAGTGTTATTACAGCAAAGTTATATATAATATACATAAATATGCATATACTATAGCAAATCCCTTATTTATTAAATATATGCATTCATGCAGAAATAACATCAATATTTTATTCATTACAATTAAGCCTTCATAAAAATAAAAAATAGCAACACACAGAGCAATACAATTCATCATTAATAATCTAGAATTTATATTTTCCTACTACAGAAAGGTACTTTAATGCTTTTGAACACAAAGACAACCAACTCACCTAAATTTTAAATTCTGAATGATACAATTATATACTATTGGTATCTACCTTATAAAAGACTTAAGACTAGACCAGTTTCTAAGGGCCCAAAAAATCAGACTTCAAAAATTATCCGTAAAACATTTAGCTCTTTAATCACTAGATAATGAGACTATATAATTCATTTACAAGCAACAATAGCATTTAATACAATAGAGATACAGCAAAAAAGAAATCCTAGAACCTATTGTGCTAATTCAGTTCTAACCCTTATGCAATACTGCCAAAAATGGACTTCTCAAAAGTTCTCTTAAATATTGATGGTTGAAAATTTCTAAAAAAAATTTTTTTTAATCTCAATGCTACTTGTAGAGAAAAAAAAAATGCCCTACAAATCTCAGTATTTGTTGAGGAAAAACAAAAGAGAATGCCTTATCTGGTATACAGTAATATGGCATTACGCAATTATTTACAAAACTGAAGAGAAGTTAAGTTTAACTTCCTCAATTTTCCTTCCCCTAAGCCTTTTGATTCCACTCCTTTAAAATATAATTCCTGTAGCCTATGGACCAAATAGCCTGATGTAAAAGTCTCCCAGGCATTAAAGTGACAAGGTTGTAAAGGAATACAACGAAACAGATTTCTGAAGAAAAAGAAAACTGGCACAAAGAAATATCTTTATACATGGATGCAAAATACTCTGGAGTATTAATATAGGAGAGAAGCGCCCGACAGCTACAATGTATAAAAAATAAATACAGCATCTTTAACAGCAATGAATCATTGGAAATTACCTAAAATGAATCTGTCTGCCTACACATGTATTTATAAAGTATTTACATGCTTAATCACTTGGTTGAATTTAAGAAACCTGAAGATGCTTCTAATAGCATGAAAAGCTTCATGTAAACTCAAAGTTGGTTTGAAGGCAATGAAATCTCCACTCTTTTTCTTTTTCCCATAATAACATCAAATTTCATGTTAACAGGTGGGGTAGAAATTATAAATAAATCTAGTATAAGTTGTCTTAAAGATGTACTTGGTTCGTCACCTTAATCTTATTCAACTATTCTAGAATTCTAATCAATTCTATCCTAATTAAATTGTAAGGAAAAGAATTCCCCCCACCCACTAAAATCTAAGTTATAAAAAGCAAACCAACAACAAAAAAATAAAAAACTATGAAATCAAAAGCTTAGTATGAACAGCAGCCAAGAATAAAAGTCAAATCTACTATGAGAAATTATATAGGAATTTGTTTACATGATTGCAATTAGGGTAGCAGTCAAGAAAGTATACCTAACAGGAAAAACATCAAATGGCACGATACAAAAAAAAAGAATCAGTTAAAAATTAAACATTAAAAAGAAGGTTTTCTTAACTAGCTATCTTCAAACAATCACAGCTATCCTACAATGGCAGTTAGTGTTTAACTAAAAAAGGTGAAAACATTCTTAAGATAACAATGTTCACTTATTTGCCTTTTCATAGATTCTATAGTTATATTATTTACGGATTTTTAGTCTTAACAGTCTATTAAAAAAGTCTCTCTGGAAAATTTAACTGTTTCTGAATTATTCTGCAATTATCGGATATTTTTGCCACACCTCTTACTCTTAATCCGTTTTAAGCCAGTAGTTTAAACACTTATTTCAGTACTATATAAATAAAAAACTGGTGATGTCTGTGAAACTGGATTTCAACATAAACCAGAAAAACAAATTTTACTGAGTTGGAGTCAATCATCTCAGGCCTAGAAAAACAGTCCACTCTAGTCACACTAATAATTAGACACAGGCCTGAGTAACACAAGATAGGAACAACACTACAATAATTTGACTTTAGAATGTGGGTGGTGTTGTTCTGTCTTAATTGGTAACTGTATGTAAACACAGATATCTGTTTCTTGGGGCTTCCCTGGTAGCTCAACTGATAAAAAATCTGCCTGCAATGTGGGAGATTCCAGTTCAATCCCTGGGTTGGGAAGATCCCCTGGAGAAGGGATAGGCTACCCACTCCAGTACTCTTGGGCTTCCCTGGTGGTTCAGATGGTAAAGAATCTACCTGCATTGAGGGAGACCAGGGTTCATCCCTGGGTTGGGAAGATCCCCTGGAAGAGGGCATGGCAACCCACTCCAGTATTCTTGCCTGGAGAATCCGCATGAACAGAGGAGCCTGGCAGGCTGCAGTCCATTGGGTCACAAAGTCGGGCACAAATGAGTGACTCAGCACAGCACATCTGTTACTGGAGATATTTATTTCAAAGAAATAGTAAAACCATACTGAAAGTTGATGAAAGTGAAAGTCACTCAGTCGTGTCTGACTGTTTGTGACCCCATGGACTATACAGTCCATGGAATTCTCCAAGTCAGAATACTGGAGTGGGTAGCCGTTCCCTTCTCCAGGGGATCTTTCTGACCCAGGAATTGAACCGGAATCTTCTGCATTGCAGGTGGTTTCTTTACCAGCTGAGCTACCAGGGAATCCCCAAGACCATACTGTGAAGGTCTTATTCAGGACCTAAGAAACTACCCAGTTTCCCTATTCTGCTCCCTCTTCAAAATCTCCTTGCCCTCCTCTTTAAGCAAAATATATCATCTCAACACTTCCCTTTAGCAAGGATAGTTTTTCATCATTTTGAGTATCTAAGGTTTGTTCAACTGAGGCCAAAAAAATAAAAAGATTATTAAGATGGTAGAATGGAGGGATACCTGCTTTCAATACAGAATTAAAATACTGAGTGTAAAATTGTCACAGAGAAGCTTTAATCCAATCTATTCAGGAATATACCAAGTTTTAAAGGCAGTTCATAATTAATCATAGTGGGTTTTTCTAGAAATAGTAAATAAAATTAGATTTTATTTACATTAACAATTTAAATAATCTAACCAACTCAAGGCTCACTAAAGGCTTACTTATTTCAGAAAAGGTAGTATGGCATGGTTGAAAAAGTTTCTTTTATTCACAGATATATAAATTAATCATCTTGATTCTTGTATACATATTAGGAAAATATCATTATCAGCCAAAAAGCTAGCATTTTGAAATTATATTTTAGATGCTCTTACCAGACTACTCTGCTCAAGAATTATCCATCCAATGGGTGCTTATCACTTTCAAATTATGTATATGCTACAGTATTTTTCTATGACTATTTACCAAGCGAGATACCTTCTTAATGTGTAAACCTTGTGTTTCCTCAACCAGCTGAATGGCTAGAATTTCTGGATATCTCCCATCAATCTGGACATAAACTAAGACTATATAGCAAAGAAAACCATTCTTGAGCAAACCAATTTGATAGTCTTCAAGCAAATTTTATAATCTATACAATGTAAACTATACTTTCATCCCTATTTTAAAACCAAATATTCTATTTCTATCCACCTACAGTACATGTGACCGTCAAAACACTGAAACAAAAAACAAAACAAACGACGACAAATAAAAAAAAACAAAACCCTGGCATCTCTCAAATATTTTTCCTTATATTTGATAATCCTAAAATCACTTCTTTTTTTTTTTTGAGCAGTTTCCTACACAATATCTAGAATTTTTAGACTTTTTAAAACTTCAAGTCAGTGAGGAGAATTGGATACAGCACTAGGCAGCTTCAGAAGACCTGCATTTTCCTCGTGGACTAATGATGGACATGTATTTTCATCATGACTTTCTAATCTAAACCCCAAACTGGGTTGACATCTATTGACATCTATTGACAAAAGATGCCACAGAAGAGTAAGAAAGGTCAACTGACCATTCCTAAGACTAAACAGTAGCAAGACTAAACAATACCTTTAAGAAACAACCTTAAATGAAAATGACTTCAGCAAAAGAGAATTTTTAACACTGATGGAACAGACTGAAGGCCTTATCATTTACAGTATTCTGAATTGAAACTTAAATCATCTTTGAGTTAAATGGATAGGCTGAATATCAAAACACTCTTGTAAACATTTTTGTAAGGGAAAACTGGACAAAGAACTAATTAATAACATACACATATGAGAACTGCTGATAAAATTAAAGGACATCAGAAAATTTTACAAACTTTTTTCTTTAATAATGCTGAAACTAGAACAGAATAATATAGACTTAATGAGTATCTGTTTATTATTGTCAATGCTTTACCAAAAGTCTTGATTAATAGATATAATGCCTTAAAATTGAGCTACAGTCTAATTAACAGGAAATAAAGCTAAAAAGTCTTATTCATTTGTTAAAGCTTTACAACTATAATATATAAATTATTAGGAAAATTTAGACCACATTTATTTATTAATTCAAAATAGAAGGGTTGAAAGAACTTACTGCAACAATCATAATTGCATTATCCAAAAAGCCAAACCCTATGAAAGGTATCGCATTGTGGATGAATACTGAAAAACATCAAAAACAGAAAAATATATTTTAAGGTTTCTATAATTTTAAAATGACAAAAACAGATCATATGATTAAAGTCTCATAAGTAGATATGATTTAAGTTTTAGAATTTACTTTCCATTCCCCACAGCCAAAAGATTCTGCTTCTGCTATGTTTATATACTTGGTAGAAGCTATAATGGGGAAAAAACAAAATAAAAAACACGTAACATGTAAAATTAATTGTGTTAGGCTTTTGTGCTTTCTTACTGGCAACACACACACACACGTACAAATTACATACAGTTAATGACAACAAATAAATAAATACATTTTATGAGTACCATATTTTACCTGTTAAATAACTATTTAACTATTTAACTATTGACATCAATCTTTTTCTCTCTTAGACCTAAAGATTGATATCATAAAATTGATCCATATTAGAAATAATAGAAAATGTTTGAATCAAATTTCAGGGAAGTTATCTGGTCACATTTACTTATCAAACAATTTTTTAAACACTGTTAGGAAAAAACTGTGATTATGTCATTTCTATTAGACATCTGGATTCAAAGTCCTCTTTCCTTCCTCGACACATCAGTATCCCTGATTGCTTTCACAAACTAAAACAAATAATATTTGATTTAAATTAAAATGTAACTTGGCCTCTTCCTACCAAAAGCATACCATATCTTATCTACCAAGTACATAATCTGGATGACCTGAGAAAACAGAAATGTAACTAGGAAGAGCTAATATCTATTTTTTAAATATATTTTTCATCTTTTTTTCTTATTTGCATCTTCAGCACATTGCAGAATGCCTAGTGCATAGCAGATGCTCAACAAACATTAGTTAATTAAGTTGAGGACATCTATCTTGGAAAGGAAGAAAATTCCAGACTAAGACAATTGAGGGAAGAATGTGAAACAGATTAAAAGCTGAGGACAGTTAAGACTTTATTCTAATTAATCTATAAATCTGCCAAGGTATAGTCAACATCTGTTCAACTGAGGACTTTTTAAAAATAGGCATCAAAGCATTCAGTTTTATACCACATCCAAAAAACTGTCCCTTAAATCAATTGGTTAGTTACATGTTTAGTGTTCAGTGACTTTACATCTTTTTTCTTTTAATGTAGTTAAGTCCACAGAAAATACAATTAAAATATAATCCAGAAGTTATGAAATTTGATACTACTATGGTGAGTTCTGTGCCAATAAGGGAAGGCTAATAAACAGTAAAACAAGAAACATTTCTACCCATAAGCACTGTCAAAGACTAAGAATCAAGGGGTGAAATGGTATATATTCTAGGCCATTTCAGAGTTCTTGTTACCACATAAGAATGTCCCAGGTAAAAAGCAGCATCTTTTTAATTACAAAGTATATTGTTTTAAAAGATAATAAAAAATCAAATGACATTAATGAAACAGCGTTTCTTCATTAAAGGGCTGTCTTAATTCTTCAACTTTTTGCCTAGGTTCAGGTGCTTAATGACCAGACATTCAAAATTTTATAATAATCAGCTTCTAAAACACATACAGAATTTCAAAAAATACTACAAATTGGTAAGTCAAAGGAATATAATGAAATTCTAATAGTTCACTATATGAAACACTTACAGAGAAGACAGAGCTGCTACTTAGATATATATATTTGAAGAGAAGACTCCCAAACACCTTCTCAATCATCTTTGAAAAGTAAATATGGTAAAATATGAAACTTTTGGAATTACTAAACATTTTGGGGTTAATCTGATGGCATCTCTAAAACTAGCTAGTTATAAATATCTTAAAATTAGGTGTCAGGTTACTAAACTAAGATTAAGCTAATAGTTATCTTAGTAGAAACTTGGTCAGTAAAACCAAAGCATGTTGCTACATTGCTATAATAATTACCTGCAACTGTAAAATATATCATGTTTTGATGTTTAGATGTAAATAAATGTGTCCTATAAATAAAAATTTATTTTCAACCCAAAGGAAAAATATAAATTTCAAAAAATTACATAACATGTACTGGACACTCCACTGGGCACTTGAGATACAGAGATAGTTGATCCCAGCCCTCAAGAAGTCTGGGAATGATAACAGAGCCATATAGTTAACTTCAATATGACCCCCTAAATGGTGATAGCATTATACAGTGCTATGGATATATAGTATATGAATCCAGCCTAGAAGCATCAGAAAAGATTACCAGGGAAAGAAAAATCTTAAAGAATTCTTAAATTGTTTTCATACCTGGGAAAAGCTACTAATTTCTAAGGCAAATTATATTCTATCTCTGAGAGAAAAAAAGGAACTAGCTACTACATTTTAATTATATGTCTGCTCTCCAGTATGTAATGACAGACTACCAATTTGTGATTTCTTCAGTTTCCTCTGGAAAATATTATTCTATAACTCAGCAGTTATCAGCAAACCATATCTAATATTTAGCTTTAACTTACAACCAATTCAAATTCACTGCACTGCTAAATAATTCTCTTCTTCCATTGTCTTTATAATAAGACCCTAAACTGTTTTACATTACTTTGGTGTTAGCCCTTGAACAGTTATTCCAATCATAATACAGTAAAGAAAGCAGACCAGCAGCATTATAAGGTTCTTCTTTGGGGTGGCTTAAAATGAACTTTACTTTCTTCATTATTAGAAACAAGTCAGACCTTTTTCTCCACCAAAGAAAATAGCCTAGAAATTCTAGTTCTGAAATAACCCAACTTAAATCCAAACTAAAGTAAACATATCCTTTTATCCAGGAACTAAGAAAACCTCTACTACAATTCTATCTCTAGATGGTAACAATATTTAAACACTAACAGACATGGTTAACAATCTTAGAAATTCCATAATACTATGTTTTAAACCAAATTTACAAAGCTTTTGCTTTAGCATAATAAATAAGATAATCTATTCTATCTGGAATGAATTAATTTATTGACTCTTCTGTATTATTAATGAATAACATAGCTATTTCAAGTCCAAAAGACAGATGCACAAATAATTATAGAACCATTACCATATCTCAGCTGTCCTGGGGTTGGTGGTTGAGCTTCCAACTTTTCTGAAGGGGAAAGAGAGGGTGTGTTCAAGAATTAGTTACTATAGCATGATTTCTTTTTTATTACAATGAAGAAAACACTAGCAGAATTACAAAATGATAGAACAGCAGAGTTTATTCATAAATTATCTTTAAGTGAATGAATCAAAGTTATCCATACAGGAAATATTTCTTGGTATAGATTAAATTACAAGGCTAGAAAAACAAATTGAGCTTTAGTTACAGGCCTACGATGACCCCATATCCCTGGGCAAATCACTTGTTTTTGGCTTTTTGTAAATAAGTCTCTGTATCTCTACAATGAGACTAATTAATATCCCTTGATAATATACTGAATATTTTGAGTTTTGAAAAATATACTACAGGATAATAAAGAACATTTACACAACAAAATGACCCCAGAGAGTTGGGTGTGATTCACTAAATGGCAACATTACTTATATGTCATAATAAACACAAAGTTTTCTCAAGTATATTATATCAAAGTATATTCAAGTGCCATCATTAAATCTAAAAATTAACAACTACAAAAACGATACCTATGTAATCTCATAACAATAACCAACTCATCATTTGTATAAGAGTAAATTACAGTAAAATGGCAGAGAATTCCACCTTCTTTATTCTCACTCAATCCAACAGAATTAACTGATATACTATACAAAAGAACCCAAACCATGGGTTACTCTGCAATAAAGATCTAGTATAACCAAAGTGTCCAAAGAAATACATTACAAACTGGATATATATTTTCTAAAATATTTTTTTTTCTAAAATATTTATAATCTATGACAACATAAGAACTGAAGAGTTTAGTTTTTAAAAAGTGAAAAGCCAATGAATCTCCATCAATAAGCTACATAAAAAGGAGTATGACATATTTGTAAATGTTATTTTACTAAAAAAGCATATAGTATCATAATGACTTTATAATAAGAAATGTGCTAAAACCTAGAGTTTAGGCAATTATTGGATTATTAAGGAAGTTTTAAGAATGCAAATTAAGTTTTGTTTTTCCTTTTCTAGGACAGTAAAGAAATGAAGATATTCTAAAACTTTGCAGTATTTTATATCTGCTTAGAATATAATCTCTTATTCTTTGACTAGTACTATTACCTCAAAATCTACTTTGAAAGCATGCAAATAGTTTTCCAAATTTTTAACAAGGAATATAAGATACCACTGTACTCCACAGAGTTTTCTGGTGAAGTAAACATGCAAAAGTGGTTACATACCAGAACTATTTCCTAGTTGCATTACTCTCATCATCACTACAGTTCTGACACTGTGAGGAGAAGTCCTTGTCAGTTGACTGGAACATCTTGAAATACCTAAAAATTCAACAAGCAGGACCTTCCCAATGTAATGAGAATATATAGAGTCCTTGCTTTTACTTCTTCAAATTCTCTACATACTGAGCAAAGTATTTTAAAATATTTTACAACTCCAAGGATGAAAGGATAAGAGCTAGGCAAATGTATAATGTGTAAAAGTAATGAGGGGGAAAAAAATCAAATAATGTAAGCAATATTTCGAATCTTTCTAAGTACATACAAGGATTAAAAAATTAAAGGTAATGAAAAATAACTCTTTTTAAAAGAGAGAAAAAGAAAATAATACAAAGTAAAGTAGACACAGCAGGGAGGAAAACCACTGGCACAGAGATTAAAGCAAAATCAAAGCATAGAGTTTTGCCTCCTGCATTATAAAGAACCCAAGGAGTAATAAGAGGAAACAGGAAAGGAACATTTCCTAGAAAGTGGAAATTTTATTGGAAAGTACCCATCAAAAATTGTGACTCATAAACTGACCATTTTGAGGATTCTGACACTCTATCTTCTTTACTACATTAACAGAAAGAAGACAAATATATATCAGAAGTGAAAAAACATTAGGTGTATAACACACAATAAAACTCAATCTTTGAAATAAGCCCAAGGTTTCAGCAGTCTGCACCAATTTTAAAATGTGAGGGGAGCTAATATAATCCCCCTGAAAATAATCATAGTAAATCCCAAAGCTTTATATCCCTACATACGTATCTTAACCTTAAATTTTTTCTTCTGACACATGGTAAACTATGTACGCTTACATGGAAATGTACTCCAATCTAACGTTCTATTAAGCAGACTCGAGTTAGAAAAACTAGTTCTTTCTGTTTCAGTGTGCGTGTGCATTACACGCATCATAATTTCTCTCTTTTTCTAAATATTTTAAAATAAGAAGACTATGATCTAGTCGCTAAGTCGTATCCGACTCTGTAGCCTGCCAGGCTCCTCTGTCCATGGGATTCACCAGGCAAGAATACTGGACTGGGCTGCCATTTCCTTCTCCAAAGACTACATTACCACACCATATTTTCCAACCATTTTTAGCTTAAAAAGTCCTGGTTCTACTTCCAGTACAGGCTGAATTATCATCTATCAGACCAATCCTATACAGAACAACTATAAATAAATATTTGAGAGCTCTGGAAAATGACCAAAAAGCAGGTTGACTGTGGAGAGGAATCAACAATTACAAAGAAGAATGGAACCAAGTGAGTTACCCATTTCATGAAGATATTGGCCTAAACCAGCTCTTAAAAAAAGAAGAAAAAACCCTTCAGTCTTTCTGGCCTAAAAAAGCAGTGGGCAAGGTGCAAGATAACCAAAGCCACTGCAAAGTGAGAGAAAAGAGCAGAGTCAGAAAGGAGGAGCCTTAAATTCTGATACACATTCAGTTCAAACATATGGCTTCTGTGTAAACCGTGCCTGTGCAGGGAAAACCACAAAAATCCCAGCTTAAGGTAAAATAGAAAGAAAATAAAAAGAATGAAGAGCATCAAGAATGGTAAATACTGAGTAAATATAAAAGACTACTTTCTCCCTAGTAATTTAAATAAACCTGATTGTCCAAAAATTGCAACACTGCCATGTGGAGTTTATACTGTATGTAGATTTAATACATTTGACATCAAAGCATAAAGGATGAAGGAGGTCACAAATGGACCAATTTGGAAATGTGATTGCAATATTTCCACAATGTATGTGACATGGTACAAGGTTCTAAGCAGAATTAGCTCTAAGCAGCATGCAAAGTTAAAGGATACCTATTTGCAATTCCTAGAGCAATAACACATACAGACAAAATGCATCAAGGACACAGTTAAAAAGCTAAATAATGTGAAGGGGACTGCAAAAAATATTAAGTCAAAAGAACGCAGGAAATTAGAACAGAAGAAAGAAAAGAGAACCAAACAGTAAAATAGTAAACCTACATCCAACTGTATCAATAATTACTTTCAATGTTAAAGGACTAAACAATCCAATTAAAAGGCAGAGGTTGTTAAAACGGACAAAAAGACAAGACCCAACTATATGATATCTCCAAGAATTACACTTCAATAGATTAAAAGTAAATAAATGGCAAAAGACATATTACACAAAGAGTAAGCTTGTAAGACTGGCGCTGCGGCAGTGCTGTGCTGAGCTGCTCAGGCACATCTGACTCTGTGTGACCTCCTGGACTGTGGCTCACCAGGCTCATCTGTCTGCGGTATTTCCCAGGCAAGAATACTGGACTGGTTGCCATATCCTCCTCCAGGGGATCTTCCTGACCCAGGGAGCAAACCTGCATCTCTTGTGTCTCCTGCATTGGCAGGTGGGTTCTTTACCACCTGGGAAGCCCCTAAGGCTGGAGCTGTTCAGTTGCTAAGTGGTGTCCAACTCTTTGCACCCCATGGACTGCAGCACACCAGGTTTCCCTGTCCTTTACTATCTCCCAGAGTTTCCTCAAACTCATGTCAATTGAGTCAGTGATGCCTTCCAACCATCTCATCCTCTGTCACCCACTTCTCCTCCTGCCTTCTATCTTTCCCAGCATCAGGGTCTTTTCCAGTGAGTCAGCTCTTCTCATCAGGTGGTCAAAGTACTGGAACTTCAGCATCACTCCTTCAAATGAATATTCAGGATTAATTTCCTTTAGGACTGACTGGTTTGATCTCCTTGCAGTCCAAGGGATTCTGAAGAGTCTTCTCTAGCACCACATTTCTAAAGCATCAATTCTTCAGTGCTCAGCCTTCTTTATGGTCCTACTCTCACATCTGTACATGACTACCAGAAAAATCACAGCTTTGACTATATGGACCTTTGTTGGCAAAAACTGGAAAGGCGATGTTAAAAACAGATAAAGTGGACTTAAAGAGTATTACCAGAACCAGGGACATTTCAAAATGTGAAGAGTCAGCTCATCAAAAGGCATAATAACAATTTGCTTATGCTTAGAGTGTTCTTGCCTGGAGAATCCCAGGGATGGGGGAGCCTGGTGGGCTTCCATCTACAGGGTCACACAGAGTCGGACACGACTGAAGCGACTTAGGAGCAGCAGCAGCAGCAGTAACAAAGCTTCAAAATGCACGATGCAAAATCTGACAGAATTAAAGGGAAAATAAACATTTCTACGATCATACTTGAAGATACAAAACCTTCTCTCTCAGCAACTGATAGAACACTAGGGGAAATTATCACTAAGAAATAGATTATCTGAACAGCACTACCAATCAACTTCATTCAACTAATATTTAAACATCCATACTCAACAACTACAGAATGCATATTCTTTTCAAGTGTAGATGATAACATTGATCAAAAGAGACCATATGCTGATCCACAAAACAAGTGTTAATAAGTTAATGATTACAATTGTAAAGAATATGTTCTCTGACAAAAATACAACTCATAATAAGATATCTAGGGAAGAAAGTGGGAATTAAATAACATCTTCTAAATACACGGGCCAAAGAAGAAATCAAAGAGGAAATTAGAAAATACTTTTCAAATGAATCACAATGAAAATACAGTATACTGAAATTTGTCAGGACAGCTCAATGAATGCTTAGAGGAGTTTTAAGTACTAATATTAAGAAGAAGAAAGGCCTAAAATAAATGACGCATGGTTCTATCTGAAAAAGCTACCAAAAAAGAGAGCAAGGTAATAAAAAGTAAGTAGTAGAATGAAGGTGA